GGAAGGCTTGTTGCTAGCAGGGAGTGACAACAGGCGCAGGCAGGTGAAGAGGTGGACATGCCACAGGAAGGATCATGCCAAGGAAGAGACAGAGAACAAAGGCAGGAGTGAAGGAAACCACAGAACAGTCAAAGCCTGAGTCAGAGCAGATGAAGGCACCACCTGCAATGCAGCATCCCATTCCCTTCTGATCCAGCTCCCTGCTAAGGCACCTGGGAAAGCAGCAGAGTACAGGCACAGTGCTTGGGTCCCTGCCACCCATGAGGCAGACCCAGATGGAGCTCCTGGCTCCTGGTTTTGGCCTGGCCCAGCGTCGGCTGTTGCAGCCATTGGGGGAGTAAAGCAGCAGATGGAAGATCCCCCTACCCTTTCCCCTCTCCTCCTTCTTCCTGTCACTCTGCCTTTCAGATTAAAAAGTCAAAGCTCAAGGAGAGGCGCACAAAGACACACCTAGACTAACAACTAAATAGAAAGAATAGCAAAAGAATAGAAATCTCAAACAGAACAACATGAAGACAATGAAATACACTCAGAGACATTCTAGAATTTTCTTTACCAACCTCAAGACCGTGACTATCATCTGCATGCATTTAACACTTGGGCAACCATGCTAGGGTTGTGGAAACACATCTTGAAAGGGGGCTAAAAGTTAAAGTCCACGTATTTTGGAGGGAAATCAAGAACCATGAAGATTGCCATGGAAAATATGTGGAGTGCCCAGAGTGGCTGCCCATTTCTGTCTCCCAGGAAGGCCCACACTGACCAACCTTGGAAGAGAAGAGTGATTCTTCAGAGCTACATGGAGGTACCAGTTAGCCTGAGCCAGGAACTGCAATGGACAACAGAAGGCACGGTATCTTTCCATCGCATCCATCTTCCTGACCTTGGAGAAGCATTACCCCTGTGTGTGAGCACAGCAGCAAAGCCGTATCTTCCTGTGATGCTTAGCAGGGTTCATACACACAGTCAGGGAATAGCACAAAATGACTGAGGTTAAGATTTTATGTTAATCTCTGTATTAGCTGGCAATTAGTTTGCTCTTTTCTTAGCTCAAGCGTGTGTGCTCTTATGGTGATGCTCTACTGTAAGAGTTCCAAGAGCCAGGTAAAATAAAGTGAATCCAACAGTCTCCTAATTTTTGCCTTAATTTTATGGGCTCAGCAGGACTAGGAATTGGCTCATGACCTACTTATCTACACCTAACCTCCCCACCATCGATCTTCTTTTATTAATTTAGCATCCATTTCCTGAATACATCTGTGCCAGGCACTATGGTATATATGGACAAATAAGAAAGGATATGTAGCCAAAGAAAAAATAAAGTAAACCAATATAAAATGAGAAAATGGAAGTAGCATGAATTATGGCAAATACATTTTCTATTTGTCCTTAGTGTCGGATGTAAGAAAACGTAGTGGTAGAGGGGATCAAAAAAGCCATCCAAATACTTAAAATTCATGGCGGGGTGGGGCATGGCTTATTAACATATATCGGAAGTCTTGAATTCTGATCATTAATCTAGAAGCCAATGCTGGGAACAGCAAGATTATCTTGAAATGTTCTTGATGAATGTATTATCTTTCTATTCCACAAAAATGAAAGAAAGGGAAATAACTTCCGATGAGATCAAATGAGAACTGGCACAACAGACATTTACAGCTCCTCAACAAGAAATAGAGAGATTCTACCTGCCTGGTAAAGAGATTTGAACTAACTTCTAAGAAGTGGGGTAGGTCCAACCAAGTCATATTGATTATGCTGGATTGGATATATAGCACTCTCAGAGGTTAAGACAGATCTGAACACTAAAACTGTTTTATGGGAAAGTTACTGTCTGTATGTAATGGGCTACTTTAAATATTAACTTTCTATATTCATATTTTAATATCTAAAGGGCACAGTCTCTTTTACAGATAAGGGACCTGGAAATTTCCAGCATAAAAAAATAAATATTCCCTCCTGAACTTATTTCCTGGAACTACAAATTTCAAGAAAATATTTTTAAAGAAGAAAAACGTATTGCTTTAAAATTAACGATTTAAGAAAAAGATGGGCTTTTCGGTTCACCAAAGTGTGCAAGATGGATATAAAATGAATGAATGCAATGAAGATAAAGCATGTGGCTCATGATATGTGGATCTTTTAAAGTTTGAATTTTTCTGATGATTGTAGACTCACATGCAATTTTCAGAAATAATGCAGACACCATGCACCCTCCCCAGCCCCATTTCCTCTAATCTTACATTTTTCGAAAGCACAGCACAATAATATGTACTTCAGGAAAAAAAAAAAAAAAAAAAAAAAGAAAGACTGCAATTATCCAGGTTGCCTACCAATACTATTCATGGGGGAAATTATTTAACCTAATTTAGCCATACAACACTCAGCACTACTGTGTACTGTTCAGCTTAATTCAATTGAACCTTCATTCTCCAAAATATTGGAAAACTTATGAAATCATCTGGCATTTTATGATTAGTTTCTAAGTTTGTGCAAGAGAGAGAGATGGAGGGAGAGGGAGAGAGGAAGAGAGAGAGAGAAACAAGTAGATTTCTACATGTAAGTTTCTATACTACTTTCTGACTACTTTCAAAAGATAAAAAAAAAATCTATGTTCTAAATTGCATATAAGTGGTTGTCACCTTTTAAGAACCCCTCCCACACAGTCATCTGAGAGTATTTAGGCAATATTGGCCTATCTAGGATTCTGTTGTGAGGCTTAAAGTGGTAAGTGCAGTTTGAGAAGTATCGAGATTTATTTCAGCTTCTCAGAACGCTGTGCCTCTGAGATCTCTGAGACAGATGTGTTTGTAGTTAGAGAGCTAGGCTCTAAAATCAGGCACAAGCCCTCAGATATGCAACAAGTTGTGGATCACTCCAGGAAGTCAGCAGAGTGACAGAGACTGATAATCAGCTCCTGGAAGACCAAGGTCGTGAATCAACTTGCATTGAGTGAACTCCACACACGTCTAAAACCTGTCATTGGTGATACCAAGCTGAAAGCTGTCACTGAAACGAGTTATCTTTGCAGAAGGCTGTCAAGCGTTGCAAGTCAAGTAGAAAACCAGATCAGAGAGCCCAGCGAATTGCCTTTGGCAGGCTTCTGGAATGTGGCGCCAAGGTGGCACTCAACTCCACGCTCTGATTACACCCAGGGTGGCAAAGTTCTCATCCACTGCATTCAGATGCTCGAAAGAGCAATATTCCCAACACAGTTCTTCAAAGAATACTTGCATTTAAAATATAAAGCAAGACTACAGACAGAGAAACTCCGAAGGGTAACGACAAGCACAGGATTCAATGCTGGAAGGGCAGAGAAGTGGGGATGAAAAAGTGGGGACAAGTAACATTGCTGGTGCACAGGTTTATCCTGAGCAGCTACTCAATGCATAAATAAAGGTGCAGGAGAGGGTTACATGCTGTAAGACAGGAAGGAGAGGGATCTATGGGAGCATCAGAAAAAACCACTCTCAAGTCAAGAACCATGGCACCGAGGGAGTGGGAAGCAATTCTATGAACAAGCTAAGCCAACTCGAAGCAATCAGCCATGAATAATTTCAGGCAAATGCTGGTCTAGAGAAAGAAAATAGATCCCCAGAGCAGCCTGTGCAATCAGGTTAAAGGAAAAGCAACGCTATGACCCAACCATGAATGGGACCAAAGAGCTGAACGTGAAGTCATTTTAGTCTGGCTTGAGAGCCTCAGGCAGTCAAGGCTCCTTAAAGGGAATATGAAGAGTGGTGTGCAGGTGGGAGGGTGTTCGCTCTAATGGGTTAAAGTTACAGGAATCTAAGTACTAAGATGTGTAAAATATCTGTAGGCAGCAACAGAACCACAGGCAGCATGGAGCAGACATATAATATAACATCCCAGCATTTATTTTTACATCAGACATTGGGCACAGCAAGGAATTCTCTGCTACTTACATGAATAATCTATAAACCTATAGTTGCACAACAGTAATTAGCGGGGGGGTGGGGGAGACCTGTGTACTAACAAAGGTAAAAAAGATGATGCATTGGGCTGGCGCCGCGACTCACTAGGCTAATCCTCCACCTAGCGGCGCCGGCACACCGGGTTCTAGTCCCGGTTGGGGCGCCGGATTCTGTCCCGGTTGCCCCTCTTCCAGGCCAGCTCTCTGCTATGGCCAGGGATGCAGTGGAGGATGGCCCAGGTGCTTGGGCCCTGCACCCCATGGGAGACCAGGAAAAGCACCTGGCTCCTGGCTCCTGCCTTCTTATCAGCGCGGTGCACCGGCCGCAGTGCGCTGGCCGCGGCGGCCATTGGAGGGTGAACCAACAGCAAAGGAAGACCTTTCTCTCTGTCTCTCTCTCTCACTGTCCACTCTGCCCGTAAAAAAAAAAAAAAAAAAGATGATGCACAGCCACGAATCCCCAAACGAGAATGAAGGAAATCAAAGGAAGTGGAAGACCAAATTACTGGTCTGATACAAAAAGGGCTGAGCTAGTTCACTGACACTCTGTTAAAATAAGAAACAGCAACAAAGCGACATCTCAAGAAAGGTAGGAATTTTACTTCTACATGCACATTTGGCACAGCTGCTATCTGACAGAACCTAGTGCAATGGTACAAAGCTCTCTACCTCGACTGCCCAGTGTGACAGCCACTATCTATCTGCATGGGTGGCAGAACACGAGCAGTGCAACTACTACAAATGAAGAGTTGAATTTTCATCTTCCTTAATTTTGAATTAAAACTTCAACTGAAATAAGCTACAGTTGGCTACTGGTTACCACACTAGGTAGGTTTCTAAAGGGCCATTCCATGCACCTGACAGCTATGAACACATTACAACCTCTGGAGGTTAATACTATTGCATTATCTTTCTGTCTAAACCGAGGCACAGAACTCAAAGTCACATAGCTGGTTCTCAAATGAAAGGAGAATTTACGTTAAGGATTTATGGTTAAGGTAAACATCAGAAACATCCAAAAATATTTCATTTCTATCTGCGAACAGGTAAAGAAGCCACAGTCTACCTGTTTTCCCTGTGTTTTTCATCCAGGTTTTGTTAGAGGATTCATTGTCGAAGCCATCAAGTTGCAGCTCCTGGTATTCTTCTCCGACACGGGCATGCTGGTCTGAAATGTCTATAGGAGACTGGTGACGGCCTCCGCAGCTGACACTCGACGTGACCCAGTGCTCAGGACCGTAGGCACCTATTCAAAGAAAGCAACACTTGAATCTTCATGGTTCAAGTAGCAGGAATGAAACAGGCAAGACATTTGGACAGAGCTTGTCACCCAAAGGTTGACGCACTGGAAGCTTGGTCTCAATTACAACTGCACTGAGAAGTGGTTGGGCTTTGATGAGATGGGATCCAGTGGGATGATTGCCCCCATGAAACGATTCACGCTGGTCTTGCAGGAGTGACTGCCTTTAAAGGGGGGTTATTATAAAGAATGAGTTTGGCCCCTCTGTGGTCTCTTGTTTCCCCCTTGCCATGTGACACCTGTGTATGTATGTGTGTGTGTGTGTGTGTTCCTGCACATGCACAGGCTACCCTGTCAACATGTGATGCTATCTGTCATGAGGCCTCACAAGAAGCTAGTGCCCCTACCATGCAACTGAGTTTTGAGAATTATGAGCACAAGAAAACTCTTCTCCTTATAAAGCATCCAGCCTCAGGCATTTTGCTATAGCAACATAAAACAGACAATGACAGAAGCCAAGCAGAACATTTCCCAAAGTACACTTTGCAACATGTCCCCATTCAAAAGTACATCACCATAGTACTGAATACTACGGATCAAAGCCATTCGCTTGACACAGCAAGATTTCAGAAAAATATGTTACTTAAGACAGTTTTGCTCCTGATTCCCAAACAAACATTTGCTGACTTCACCTTTAATAATGATACAAGGAATCACGCAAAAGGGCTGGCAGAACTGCTTGCAGTTTTGAAAACAGTTAAGTAAGTTTCCCAAAAGAAGCAGAGCACTTATTCACACGAAAGTACTTTTATCACTTATTTTGCTACTGTGCACAACATCCTAAGCATACTGTCTTCTTAGCTCTCAGGGATGTGTAAATCGGAAATGAAAAACACAATGAGCAACACGAAACTGGACAAGAGTCATTAGAAACGATGCAGTAACAAGGCAGGTGTTTCCACCAGCTAATTACCAAAGATTTTGCAATGTGGCCAATTTGTACTCCTGAGTGGAGGCACTTGTCTCTCCTCCAGAAGCTGTCTGTCTCTTCCTGGAGACAGGTATAAGGTTACCTTCACGTGGAACTCAGCACTCATATAAATAAGGATACAGAACTAAAGGGAAAAGTGCAATTAGAAAGCACAATTCCAATGGACACCCTCAGACACAGGCATGGAAAACACACTGAATTTCTCTGCTCAATTTGGAAACACAATATTACGGGAGCAATGTCCATGACTCATAATTTTGCTATCTTGCAAATACTTCAGTCTTATTTTAATGCCTGGGTCATTTCCCCTAATTCTCATTTCAAACAGTAAGATAAAAACAGACAATCAGAGGGAACTTCTCCATGGACTGGTCAAGGTCTGGTGAACTGGGAAACATTTTTTTTCTATTAATTTATTTTTCAGGCAACATTTTAAAAGTCAGAGACAAGTACCATAACAGTTTCTAGAAAAAGATAACATCACAATTTTCTGTACTGTAGGACTCTGATTCAATTAGGAAATGTCAAGGGCTTTCTCACTCATGTTGTTTTAACTCTTGGTCAAATACCCTAAGACTATGATAGGTCAATGGGACAGAGAGTGCATCCATGTGTATTGCAGCTGCAGCCAAACTTCATTTTCATCTTGCATCTATGTAATCTGAAGAAGAAGTGGGGTGGGGGTGGGGAGACAGCATAATTAATGGCTTCAATTATCCTGTCCACATTTTAATTTTTCTTCCAGGCACCAAAGAATCTATGAGGGGACTGAAAGTGATTGCTCTATATTTTTTGTGTGGTCAAAATATGAATTTTGGTTGGCTACAACTGGGTCTTTATATACAAATGATGGAAAATAATGTTTTAATATTGCATATGGGGGCTGGCTCTGTGGTGCAGCAGTGCCAGCATCCCATATGGGCACCAGTTCAAGCAGCAGAGAGTGGCCCAAGCCCTTGGGCCCTTGAACCCACAGAGCAGACCCAGAAGAAGCTCTTGGCTCCTGTCTTCAGATCGGCTCAACTCTGGCTGTTATGCCATCTGGGGAGTGAACCAGCAGATGGAAGATCCTCTCTCTCTTTCTAACTCTGCCTTTCAAATAAATAACAGAAAACTCTTTTAAAAACATTGCATATGTGTGTGTACAAGTGTATAAAATTCTTTTTAGAAATTTTATAGGTACAATAAACTCACACTCAATAGAAAACAATGTCATGAGACATGATACAGCATTTCCAAACACATATAAGGCCAAAGAAATAATAAATGCAAGTTTTCATTTGTAAAAACACAGATGCTTTATAATTATCCTACTATTAGTAATAATTTAAAGGATACTCTGTATTATCAGAAAAGTACTCATTATTCACATTATTTCTCATAATCTTCCAAACGCAGGTGAAACGTAACTTGGCACTCAATAAAAATACAACCACAGTTCATAGTGGTAAGATCCATTAATTCACTGGTAACAATCAGAAGATTTAAGCTGACTACATGCTTGCTCTCACACTTCCACCCAATATACATTCAAGTGCAATTTTAATTGAAACTGATCTTCCACTTCAGATTTTAAATTAATTCTTCTTTGGAGTTCTTCATGCTCCAGACACCACTGCCTTGAAAGAACCCCTATGTCATTAGTGGAGCAAACAGAACTCTCTTCCCAAGCTTGCAGGTATTGATTACCTATTCTCACATGGAAGCTCCACTGCCATTCTGTACTGCAGAAACCTCTTTGGCGTTAAGACACTTTATAAAGGCCCGAGAATTATATAAATTAATCATCTGCAGCTGCACACATCTCACAATATTGAATGCTTTGTTTTTCAAACTTTGAATAAATGCTTCCAAGTAAAAAACATGACCCTAAATAAAGGCTGTGGTTAAGGGATACCCAGCTTGGAGAGGGAAAAAAAAAATAATCAGCAAGAAGCCTTCCTCTCTCAGAGATGACATTACCCATCTAAATGAGAAGCCCAAGTCACTTACACGTTGGTCTCCTCTTTACCAACTCTTCCTAAAAACAAGCAGGATGCTTGCATTTCAGCAGCTGTGCCTACTCTGAACAGGTTCAGACTCTGGCATCACAACTTCACACACAAAGCTACGTTCTCAAAAGGAAAGCAGGAGGGCGGGAGTAGAACCCAGAGAGGAATAGTTTTCTTTTTTTTTTTTTCATGCAAATTGTTGAACGATTTACTTAGTATACAGTTAATCTTCTGTATATAAAGTTAATTGAAAATAGATCTTCGTTCTCTGTGAGATCCCAGCAGAAAGAACTGGCCATCAAAGAAGGAGGTACCTTTCTCTGAAGGGAGGAGAGATCTTCCACTTTGACTATGGCCTTGTCTAAATAAGGCTGGAGTTTGTGAACTCAAGAGGCTTCCATAGCCTTGGCAGCTCATGACAAGAGCCTCAGGTGATTCCTGACACCATAAATAAGAATGTCAATTGTTAAATCAACAATGAGAGTTACTGTGCACTTACTCCCCATGTAGGATCTCTGTCCTTAAGGTGTTGTACTACGCAAATTAATGGTAAAACTAGTATTCAAACAGTACTTTATACTTTTGTGTGTCTGTGTGTCTGCAATCTGTTCCTACTTTCAAAATGCATAATGCTTTGTATTCCTTAAATTAAAAATATCTTTGAAAAAAAGGAAATCAAGGTATAAAAATGTATAAATACTGGAGTTTGTGAAACAAATTGAGCTAGATCTTAGAAAACAGTAATAAATTAGTATAAATAAATACTAAAAAAAAAAAAAAGAAAGAAAGAAAGAAAAAGAAACCACAGGGCAGACTGAGGTGTCAAATGCAATTTCCCATTCACCTGTTAAAAGTCTTCTAGAAATGAGATCTTGATGGAGACATACTGCTAAGCTGTAAGTACCAATCTAACAGCATTCCTCGTTCAACCTGATGACAAATATTTCAGAAAGTTCGATAAGTGCATCTGAAACCCCTGGCTAACAGGCAGATCTCAGAGTCAATGCACCACTGTCAAGCACACACACATCTGTGCTAGCCTGGCACTGGTGTCTTGGTTTCCTTTGGGCTTAAGTATCACTATTGCATTTTATTGTTTAATCCTACATGTCGTACTTTCCCACTAGTGGGAAACTCCATGAGAATAAGTTCCTCCTATGTCTCGTTTCACTTCATGCCGATGCCTAGCAAAAGGTCTTATAGATTATTAGACACCAATACACCTTTTGGGGTACAAATAATGAATTGGAATTAGAGATCAAAGAGTCCAGAGCTCTGCCTTCCAATTACACATAGTCTCTATGCATACTCTCTATGCATTACTTTGCTTTTCATTACGCATCTATCTGCTGACTTCTTGTGAAGTCTGCCTCACTCCCTTGGCCTCAAGAGTCAGGATGTCAATTTCAGAAGCAGCCCTTTTCTTTACCAACACATTGAATTAATCTACACTGAAAAAGGTCCAAGAAGCTGCCCAAATGCAATATGCGTGAAAGTCTCTGAGTGCAAATTTAAGAACCCCACCAAGACAAACCATGGTTTTATAAAGAAAAGCTGCAGTACAACTTCTGCTTTCAATGCCTCTTGTGAAACATGAATATTTTTACACCTGTCTTGTTTTTTCTGTGCTTTAAAGTTTCTCTAATCAAAGCAGGTGTCTAATACATCAACCCATCACTATACATAAATACTAACGCGGGGCACGGTGGGTATCTGGCTTTGCGCTTATGACATCAGATGGGATGCCTGCAGCCCATATGCGAATGCTCCCAGCTCCAGCTCCTGATTCCAGCTTCTTGTTAATGCAGACCCTGGGAGGCAGCAGATGATGCTCATGTAGTTGGGTCCCTGTCACCCATGTGGGAGACCTAGATTGAGTTCCTGCCTGCCAGTTTAGGAACTGTAGTGAGCATGCGGATTGAAACAATGGATGCGGATGTCCTCTCTCTGTTTCTCTCTGTGTGCCTCTTTGCCTCTCAAATAAATAAATACTGACTCAACACATGCTCAGTACCAGGCACCAT